TCATTGATATTAGTGAATGCTTTGGATGCAAAGATGCAGAAGATGCTTTGAGGAATTATTCAGTGTCTGAAAACTGTGGAGAAGAGCAGGGGTTGATTTTTCTAGGATTTTCTCTAGAAAGCTCTGTCTTAGTTTCCCTGTCTTGGTCAAAGTATTTTCTTATAAATTAAGAAAACATACCTCTACTTCTCTGGACTTGTTTTCTCACAGTAGTCAGATGACTTTCACTGGCTTGTTCCTGAGACTTACTCTTTTTGGCAGAGCAACAAGAATAAATGAGGATGATGAGGAAGACAAGGATCATGGTCACTGACAGTCCAATCAGCATGTGCAGGTTCCTGCGGTTATCTGGAGGAAAATGTGAACCCAATAAGAGGTATATCTCAGTATCCTCATTTTGACAGATTGCATAGTATTTATTGATTAATAGATAACTGATAAAATATTGCTTTAGGACAGGAGTCTTGATGAAGAACCCACTAGTAATATCCTACTCAATGGAAACAGTATCAAATGGACTTCTAATGAATTATTATTATACCCAGATATGATTATCTTTCTCAACTCTCAACAGAGGAATCTATATTTGTGATAGAAGGTGATTAATACAGATACCCACAACTGGGGAAGCTGTGGAAATAAAGAGACTATAGAATTATGGCACTAAATGAGATGTTTACATCTCAAATCGTTCTCTAATAGTTTAGCATCATTGTGAAAGATATGGAAGAAGAGATTGCAAAGAAGCTGTGGTTAAATATAGAAAGCTGTCTTCTGTACACTGAGGGCAGGTGAAAAATGAACTTCACAGGAGGTTGAGATAGCAGGCCCAAGAATGGTGCAAGTTCAAGCATGACCAAATGTCATCATGGAGAGTGGAGGTGGACATGAGGTCCCATCCCTAGTCAAGGGGCTATGGGCTATTTGTGACTGTTGGGAGAATGAGTGTCAGTTTCAGGAGAGTTTCTACTAGTAAATTGACTGTGCTCCAGCAGAGGTCCACACATCCAGGAATATATAGGTGTCATGCAAGTGGCAGAAAATCACAGGACCCTAGGTTCAAATCATGTGTTCAGTAGCTAAATCTGAGATTGAGATCAGTGCTCTTAGATTAGTGCTTCTGTAATACCTTGAACTAAACATTTCATTCTCTTGTAGGGAAAAAGTGAAGTCAAGTCTAATCTGTCAGAAGTAGTATTTTTATATAAAATCCTCCCTTCTGCTCACTTGTTTCCTTCTTCAGGCCCCATCACCTCCTCTCCAGGAGGAAGAGAGTTAGAATGAGCACTTCATTGATCCTGAAAAGGGAGTAAAATTTACTCTTCTTTTCTCTCACCAAGGTCTCAGGTACAGAAATTAGAGATGAATAGTCATTAAATTTCCCATGCTGCTCCTAAACAACTTCTAATGTGGAAGATTTCAAGAATCAGAGAGGGGAGATGAAGATGATAACACAGAGTAAGGAAGGAGCTGAGACAAAATAAGCCAAAGAGCTTTGGGTCTCTAAGTTTCCACAATAGAGAAGAGGAATCAATTACTCACTGGTTGTGAAGTCTGCTTCTGTGCAAGAAGTGCAGTTTCTTGTTGAGTTAACTAGAGAAGGGGACAGAAGAGGGAGAAAGTTCATCAGAGGCTGTCTTCACCCCCTTAAGGAAAGTTTTTTAAATTTGGTCAGTGACCACCACCCACTCCACCTCTTAGTCCTGAGCCTGTAGAGTTATAGGGTGATATTTAGTGGTTTGCTTCCAGGTATTGGCTCTCTCATCTGATTTCAAGATTTGATGATTCATAGGAATGCTGTGGGAAGATGTATGTGAGCAAGAGTTCAGGAGGGCTGCTCCACCTCTGCTCTGCCCAAACTGATATGAACCTCATCCCTAATGAGTCTGGCCAGACCCATTTATATATCTGCCTCTATATATAGATATCCCAGTGTGGATGCAAAGTCATATAAGGAGTTTTGGGGAGACTCCCTGTCTGTTACTTTGTATTCTGTTTTCAAGTCCCAAATTCCATGTTTTTTTTACAAAAGATTTTCAGTTGAAATATAATTCTTTCCTTTCCCTTTCCTCTTTCCAGTCCCTCCCAGCAACCCTTCCGCCAAGCTTTCTCATATCCTCACAGCACTCTTAAATTTATAGCCTCTTTTTCATTGAAAATTATTGTTACATATATGGCTAAATCTATGCATATTCACACATATGTGTACACATGTCATATATACACATACATATATACATACATGTACATATATACACATCAAATATGTATACACACATGTAAATGTAACACACATACACATATATATGTTTAATTTCACACACGTGACGTTAGGACTCACAGCAGTCCTTTGTAGCTCCCAATGCTATTTTCTCTCTATCATAGATTGGAGGATTCTGAGACATGGCTTCAGTATTTCATCCACACAAGATATGAGGTATATATGAAGTTCTCTTACCTGTGACAAGAATGTACAAGTGGTCACTTGGGGTTGACCACAGATGGGAAGAGTTCCTGAAAGAGCCATAGCATCTATAGTTCCCAGCCTGGACCATAGGACCAAGATGGAAGCTGTCTTGGAATGTTCCATTGTGGCTCTTCACTGAAGGTAACCCATGTTCCTTGGGTACCCCTCCCCTGGACAGATGGAACATGTCAAACTGAAGGTCAGAGAAACAGGTCAAGGTCATGTTTTCTCCTGACATTACCACAGGTTCCATCAGGGCTGACAGAGAAGGTTTCTTGTATAAACCTGAGAGAAAAGAGGCAGAGACAGTTACCAGTGTTCATTCACTCCTCAGTGTTCTCTCTGTCTGCTTCTATTTCGTTGATCTCTCTCTGTCTCTTACCTCTCCTCTTCTCTATGTCTCCATTTCTCCTCTCACCTCTTTCTCTCATTCTCTCTTTTTTTATGTTACCATCTTTAGTCTATGACCTCACTCTGGACTCAAATATTTTATGCCAATGTTTACTCATTGACATTTTCTGCCTCTATTGGCATTGGTTCATTCCATCTGTCTTTTAAAGTTTGTTTTTATGAGCATAATTAATTTTATCTAGCAATAGCCTTCATAATGAAATATTCATATGCATACATAATATATTTTTTGCTTGTTTTGAAAATATATCTTAATATTTGAAATTGAACTATATCATTTAATGTATTTCTATCATTTAATGTTTTTAAAAAATTGTTGTTACATATATTTATAGATGGATACTATTAACAATATTAATGTTATTATTCTTTCTTCCCCCTCAACTTCCACTAATCACACTCATTTTTCTAATTGGTCTTCTCTATACTTTCACTTTTTTTCCAATTGTTTTACAAGTAAATGGGTTCAATTAGAGTTACTCGTAATTTTGTTTTAATTAGCATACCAAGTAACAGTCTTCATTATATTATCCTCATACAGCTCCTTTTGTTCATTTTCTTTCCTCTTCCCTCCCTTGTACAGCATTGCTGATCTCTTTACTCCTCTCATTTCATCCTCCATGTCATATGTCTTTCATTTCTTTCCCATCCCTCTCTATTAAATTTTTCTTCCTTGGTTACTTGCTAATTTCATGAACTATAACTTTGCTATCCTATGTATAATAAAAATCTAGAATCTAATGTCTTTTTGTTTTTCATTCTTGTATCTGTTTACATATCTGTGTTAATTAATCTTTCTTTTCAAAATACATAATACTTCATAAAATTCTATATTTCTCTTGAACAATGACCATGATGATCTTCCCTCTCTTGTTCCTCTTAGTGTGTGTACTGCTCAAGTGTGATCTGTCATCTGCTTCCTAAGCACTTAGTTCAGAATTTGTTTTTCGCTTCTGCCTTTATAAGACTTCTACCAAGAGAGCCAGACATATCTTGTGTCTGACAAACTCTGTCTTGAAATATTTAATATTTGCTACATTTTTTCCATCTCTACTATCAAAGTTTCCATGTAGGCTTCTGTCTTTTTTGTAGATTTTCTCTTAGCACACATTCCATGTTTACTAATTCTCAGCCCTTCCTGGTTCCACCTGTGTGAAGGCTTAAAGACTCATTAAGTACCAGCCCAATTAAGTATTTGGACTCAGGTCAGACACATGATATGTCTTGCTCTTTTGGTAGAATTCTTATAGAGGTAGAAGTCAGTAATTTTCTGAATGTCATAGAGAGACTTCATTCTCTCTGGTTCATATTACGCTCACCTAATTGTCATTTCCTGTTTATATCTACTTTGCACCTCCCTGTATCTGTGATTTATGTTATAACCAAGGGTCTGTTCTTCTGTATTTCTTTTCATTGTCTATGCCAGTAAATCATTAACAAGGTTGCCTTTATGTAAATTATTTACACTCCTTTTTCTGGTGACCTTCCACAGTTTTTAGTGTATAGAATACTTTTCTGTATCACAAAGAGAATGATGAGCATGTGACATGCTCTTACCTGTGATCTTTATGTCAATGGGATCACTGGATTCAGAACACTCATATGGAGAGTGATTGAAGGAACCATAGCATGTGTATGTCCCAGCATCATCAGGTGTCATAGGACCTATTGAGAAGTTGGCTTGGGAACCCCCATGATAGTGTTCTGCAGAAAGCTCGAAAGAGTCCTTGATTGTTCCAGTTTTATGTGAAGTCAAAACGAAGGTGTCAAACATAATCTCTGATCGACACTCCAGTGTCACCTTCTCTCCTAAATTCACCAGGGGAGGTTGTAAGGCCAAGAGGAAAGGCTTCCTGTAGACTCCTAAGAATAAAAAAATTGTATGAACCTGATCAAAATCTCTGTGTCCTTGAAGACCCGTGATTCCCCCTCAATTGGTCTGTTTTCCCTGTTAGTACTCTAGTTTACTTGTTTTTGTCTACTTCTACTCTGGACACAGACTCCTCCATCTTTGTGTCCATTTCCCACTTATTTGAGTCTAGGATTAGTACAATATCTTCCCACTGGCTTGTGATGATAATGTGTCTTTGAGTACTACATCCATAGACCCTATTGTTTTTTCTAAGCCTGGAAAGTGCAGGAAACATGGCAAGCTTCACACCAGGCTGCTTTATGTTTCTTTTTTTGCAACTTTGGATAAAGTATAATCCTTGGTAGGATAAAGGAATTAGTATTGAACATAGTTATGAGGGAAAGACTTCTAGCTCTCTGTGGTTCAAACCCCTATAAGGCATTCCTGATCCAGAATCATGAACATTCTTTATTCTAACATGTTGATGAATTAGCATCCTGGTTTTACTGCTCTCAGAACATCCCTTTCCTCCATCTTAATTTGCCCTTGACATGGGTTCCTATATTATTTTCCAGGTGCTAACATAACAAAATACAACAAATTTGATTCTTAGACAGAATACAATTATTGTGGAGATCAGAATTCTGAAAAGCTCAAATGGCATAAATCAGGTTTCTTCAGAGATAGTATCTACTGAAATCCCTAGGAAAGTGTTTGTTTTTACCTTCCAGCTTCTAGAGCCTCATGCATTCCTTGGCAC